AAAAAAAATATAAAAATAATAAAATATTTTCTAAGAAAGTAATGCTTTTCTGGACTGGGGATGTAGCTCAGTTGGTAGAATACTTGCTTAGCACCCCTAAAGCCCTGGTTTATTCCAGCACCTGTATAAAACTGAGCATGGTGGCACATATTTGTACTCCTAGCACTGGGGAGACGGAGGCAGGAGGAAAAGTGCATGGTTATTCTTGGATATATAATGAGTTTTAGACCAGCCTGAGAAAAATAAAGAAATAAAGAATTTTTTTTTTCCTTTTAGGAAGTGAAAGTACTTAATATTGATCAAAGAAATTTCAAATTACGGTCAATTGGGTAAGTTTTGAAACTAGTTTAAAGCAGCAAGTCATGAAAGATGTTAAAGTTATGTTCTTCATTGAGCCCAGTGGGAGGAAAGACAAACAGCAATGCTAACTCAGAGGACCACTTGCAGTTGGCTGGGCTTTGAGGTTGAGCTTTGTGACACCTATGATGGAAGGCTCACCTGAGCTTTAGAGGCTCTCAAAAACTTGTGAGAATAGAGTTCATTCTGTGTGTTAAGCTTGATTCCCTGTTGTTATTTTATGTGTATGAATACTTTGCCTGCATGCATGTGAGTGCACCATGTGCATACAATGCCCACAGAGGCCAGAAGGGGTATTGGATCCTTTGGAACTGGAGTTAGAGATAGTTGTGAGCTGTCGTGTGGGTGCTGAAAACCGAACCCAGGTCCTCTGGAAGAGCAGCAAGTGCTCTTAACTGCTGAGCCATCCCCCTACCCCTAATTCCTAATTTTTTTTTTTTGTCTTTTTTTTGAGGCAGGGTCTCCCTGTAGCCCCAGCTGTCCTGGAACTCACCATGTAGACCAGGCTGGCCTTGAACTCACAGAGATCCACCTGCCTCTGCCTCCCAAGTGCTGGGATTAAAGGTGTACGCCACCACACCAGGCCCCTAATTTTTTTTTTAATCATGAAAAAAATGTCTACTTGCTGGGCTAGGTGGTGCACACCTTTAATACCAGCACTTGGGAAGCAGAGGGAGGTGGAGCTCTTTGAGTTCAAAGCCAGCCTGGTCTAGATAGCGAGTTCCAGGCAGGGCTACATAATGAGATCCTATCTCAAAAAAAAAAAAAATTATATTTAGAATTGGCCAGCTAGACTCAGATGATCCTAGTTTTGTTGGCAACATCCCATACATCATCAAGAGCCAGTGGAACGTGTGCCTTCCTCTCTCCTTCAGGCCTGAGCAGGGTCTTGCCACCACATCAATGTCAGAGTTTCTTCACAGCCTGCTTGATCAGGGCTTGTTGGCTTTGACATCTACAGCAAACACAAGTCTTGTGTCTTCATGGCTGACTCAGTGGTCAAGGGAATTTGATGTTCGCATAGTGCCAGCATCAAATGTGCCTTGTGTCTCCTGGAGGCACTCTTGTGAGGGTTATTTGGGCTACCTCTGAAGCCACGGTGTCTTGGGCTGCCTGAGGGTGGGTAACATGGGAATCTTCCTTCTGTGGCCATGGACCCCTTTTAGTGCACTGTCTAGCTTTCAAAGCCCCGGCTTTGGTTTTGGCATTGGGAAGAGCAAGGGCTTCCTTTGCCTTTGGTTCATTTTGGGAAAAAGTTTAATTTTTCTATTTTTTAATAATTTTTGGGAAAGAAGAAAAAAGTGTATTTATATTATCTGTACTTATATATCACATATATGAGACACCTAACTGCTAAATGGCATAGCATAAAGCCCAGCCTGATGGATGGGAAACACCTACTCATCCTTTTTCATTTGGCCACACTTGTATACCTGCCCAAAGTAGTTCCTTCTGTATAAATCGTGCCTTTCTTTTCCTTCTAGAATTTATAATTAGGCTGCTTTGACTGGACTTGTTCTTCATTCACTTAATTCTGTATTTTAGGCTATTTCTGTATATAGCTTATCCTTTCCATTTTATATTGAATTTTATTAGCTGCTTTGTGAAAAGTGAAGCCTTTAATTATTTTCTTTTTCCTCCCCCCCAATGGGGAGATTTTTGTTGTTTGGTTTGAGATAGGATCTTACTATATAACCAGGGCTGGCCATGAACTCGCATTCCCTTGCCAGGTGCTGGGCTTGCAGGTGTGTATTACCTCATTTGTCTTCATTACGGTTTTTGTTGTTATTTTGTTTTGCTTTGTTTTGTTTGTTTTGGTTTGCTTGCTTGCTTTGAAATAGGATTTCAGTCTGTAGCATAGGCTGTCCTGGAACTCACTATGTAGTCTTTGGTTGTCATCAAAATCACAGTGATGATCCTTCTTACCTCAGCCACCCTTGTGCTGGGGTTACAAAGGTGGGCCACCATGCCCAGCTGAAATACTACTTACTAAACAGTGTTTATTGAGAATCTACTGTAAACACACAAGAAGTGGGGCATTTATTTTTTTTTAGAGCAACTGTCAGTCATGAGTGCAAATACTGGCTAGTGAACATAGTCTTTCCACATTCTGGTAAGTCAGAGTGGAATCAGTTTAGTTCCCCTACACTCGCCATCTCTTTCTGGTTCTCCAGTATCTGAACCATATTTATAAGGCTTATTTTAAAATATATAGAGAGAATAAATGTAAAAGTTTATCGTTTTGCTCAGTGTGGTGGTGAATGCCTTTAATCCCAGCACTTGGGAAGCAGAGGCAAGTGGATCTCTGTGAGTTCAAGGTCAGCCTGGTCTGCATAGCTAGTTCCAGGCCAGCTGGGGCTACAAGGGATACCCTCTCTCAAGAAAACAAAACAACAAAAAAATTATAAACTTTTTTTTTTTTTTTTTTTTTTGGTCTTTTTGAGACAGTCTCCCTGTAGCCCCAGCTGGCCTGGAACCCCCTATGTATACCAGGCTGGCCTTAGTTTCATAGAGATCTGTCTGCCTCTGCCTCTTGAATGCTAGGATTAAGGGTGTGCACCACCACGCCTCACAAAATTTTAAAAATCTTAATCATGTTCAACTTTCTTTTTTAGGTGGGGGGAAGAATTTTCACTGTCTAAGCACCCTCAGGTATGTTTTAAAGTCTGGCCATTGAAATCATTTCATACTCTCTCATGTAAAGTCTGTATATGTAAAAGTAAACTTTAGTTAGTGTGAAGAGATATGGTTTCTCAAGCTTCTTTTACCTGTGAGTATGTTAAAGCATTGTGATTTCATACATTTGATTGGTGAATTAGGGGTCGGTATTGGAGTCCAGGATCTGGTTTGTTAAAGATTGTGATGGAATTTGAAAGTCTAGTTTTCTTTTTTGTTTAGTTAGGCTTTGTTTGTTGTGTTATTATAGACTGATCTCATTGTGTAGCTGTGTTTGGCCTGGAACTGGCTATGTAGATGAGGTTGGCCTTGAATTAGTTATCTGTCTGCCTTTCTAGTGCTGGCAGTATGAGCATGTACCACCACACCCACCTCTGTTTGCTGTTTTTTGAGACTTGATTTCTTTTGCAGTGAAGGTATTGGACTAGATGTTCTTCTCCTTGCCCCCCACCCCCATCTGTTTCTGTCTTTCTCTGTCTTTTTTCCTTCTTAAAGTCTTTTTTTTTGGTACTAGGGATTGAATTTAGTGCCTTGTGCATGTCATCCCACTGAACTGTATCTCCAGGCCTCTTTTTACTTAAAAAATTTTTTATTTGAAAATGACTGCAGAAAAGGGGGAATAGAGTGGTAACACAGTAGCTAGGGAGGGGACTGTGGCTAACAAGGTAGAAGGATGTTGCTTTGTCTGGTTTTGGCTAGTGGGTTTTGTAGCATGTTTATATGCTAAATAGAAATGACTGAGCAAGGAGGGGAAAATTGATATATTGGAAAGGGAAGGGATGTGGGACCTTGGTAAGTAGGAATATTGGATTAGTTGGTGGGGGGAGAAGTTGGCCTTCCAATAGACCCGGGACAGGCCATTTATCAGAACTGCAGGAAAGGGAATGTGAGGACAGATATGGTGGGAGAGTAGATTAACTCTTGGGTATATGAATTACTTCTTACTGATAGCCCTTATTGTTTCTAAGAAGTATTGTTACTGAGAGTAAGAATGAAGAAGGGGTTCCAGAGGAGAAAAGGTGGATTGTCTCCGAGGAGAGAAAGGGAATCGATTGATGGTCAGTGCTAAATCTGTTTGAGGTGTTGGACATACACAAGGTGCCACCATGAGAAACACTGCTGCTTTGGGCAGAAAGTTGGGTTCACCTTATGGTGGTTTCCCCAGGCGACAGTGGCAGAGAGGAGAAGCAAGGTGATGTCACACCTGTGCTCCTGTGGCATCTTCACGTGACTTCTGTGCATTAGAGCAGGCATGTGTCGTTCACCTCTTGCCTGGTACATTTTGTGGCACACAGATTATTATGGACTCTTTGTAGAGTTGGAAGGAACTTAAGAGGACATCTAATCTTGTATCAGAACTCTAGGAGAACTCTGACCTGGGAAACTGTGAGCCTTTCTCCAGCTAGATCTGGAAAGATTAAACTGAGTGTTTAGGAAGTAGGTAGGGACTCAGGACTCTTCTGGGTCTCCATGGGGAAGCTCGTGGTGTTTGATTCAGCTCATTTTATTAATGAAAGGCCCATGCCCAGTCAGGTCAGACACTTCCTTGACCAGCTGGAACCAGTGCCTGGATTAGAGTCCCACCCCTTGCTGCAGTTCAGCACTCTTCCCCGTGCACTTTCTGGGGTGTCTTCAGCACATATGAATACACTGATTTGATAACAATCAGTTCCACATGGGTTTTCAGTTTCTCAGAACTAAGGTTTTGACTTTCTGCTATTTCCTGCTCAGGCAAAAGATTCTGATTCCAATGTGTTTTGTTTTCCTTTAACCCCAATTTTAGGGAACAGAAGTCAAAGCAATAACATACTCAGCAATGCAAGTCTATAATGAAGAGAAGCCAGAAGTTTTTGTAATCATTGACATCTAAGATACCAGAAAGAAAAAAAAGACTCCTAGGAAGAACTGATTTCTTTTTTCTTTTTGAGAAGATGCAACAGTTCAATTTCTATAGTATCTTTGGTAAATGGGAAATTACAGAATGGAACTTTGCTCTCAGAACCCTTGGTGGCATTGTTAAATGTTTTTCAGGTTTGAAGTGGGACCTACTGTGTTCTTTGGAATGCCCCTTCTCTCTGAGCCTCAAGTTTCTCACCAGTAAACTTTTTTTTGGTCTTTTTTTGAGACAGAGTCTCCCTGCAGCTCCCACTGGCCTGGAACTCACTATGTAGACCAGGCAGGCCTTGAACTCACAGAGATCCGTCTGCCTCTGCCTCCCGAGTGCTGGGACTACAGGCGTGCACCACCACATCCGCTCCCCATCATTTTTTTCTGATAACTTCATGTACTATTTCTTCTAACATTCCCCCCTCTGAAGAGGTAACCCTAAAATCTTTGACATTTTTGGCTTTAGGAATGGAGTATGTTGCTAAGAGGCCCAAGCACATTTTGACTTTTAGCCAAGAAACTGGCTACTTTTCTTTAGGGTATTTTTATCCTAACTGCCTAGCCAATTCCTACCTCCTATCCTCTGAAGAGGTTAGTATAACTTTCAAAAATGGGAAATTGGTCTATGATCCTTAGATAATGAAGTATTGGATTCTTGAAGAACGGTCTAGGGATCTTCTCTGATAATTCCCTGTGGTAGCAGCGGGTGCCTAACACCCCTCCAGTGGAACACAAGCATTCCAGCCTGCTCTCAGAAGGAGTAAACTACAGTTGGGATTGAATCCAATTTGAAACAAAGTAACTTGAGCTGGGCATTGTAATACAGGCCAGTAATTCCAGCACTCTGGATCCTTAGTCTGAGGCCAACCTTGGGTATAGAGGGAGTTCAGGGGCAGCCTGGACCACTTAGGCAAGGCCCTGTCTCTAAAAAATAAAAAAGAAAGAAAGGAAATGGGTTTTAGATGTTGTTTTGAGATAGGTTCTCACTATGTAGCCCTGGCTGACCTGGAAGTCACTATGTATACCATGCTGGCCTCAAACTTAGAAAGATCCACCTGCCTCTGCTTCCTGAGTGGTGGAACTAAAGGTGTGTGCTTGCACACCCAGCAAGGGAGGTAGTTTTAGATTGCTATGTGACAATCATTTTGTATTACAGTTCATTTTCTTAGAACTGATTAGAAGATTAATCTAGAAAGTCCTGATTTTCTTTCATTTCTTTTTAAGTAGCCATGATACTTTCTTTTTTTTGGTCTTTTTGAGACAGGGTCTCCCTGCAGCCCCAGCTGGCCTGAACTCACTATGTAGACCAGGCTGGCCTCAAACTCAAAGAGATCTGCCTTGCCTCTGCCTCCTAAATGCTGGGATTAAAGCTGTGTGCTACCATGCCTGACTCAGATACTTCCATATTTTAAGAAAAATTTGACAATATATCTTACGTATAGACCTTTCTAACATGTAATTTTTATTTTATTTATTTATTTTTAGTGTTTGGGGAAGGGGACTTGAGCCACAGTATGCTAGCTAGGCAACTGCTCTACCACTGAGCTTATAGTCCTAGCCCTAAAGTACAATTTTATTTGATATCCACCTGCGTCTGCCTCCCTAGTGCTGGAATTAAAAGGCGTGTACCACCACACTTGACTGCAATTTTATTTTAAATCCAGTCTATGTATCCAGTTAGAGAAGAAAAAAAAATTAGAACTACTTAAGGGTTGGAGAGATGGCTTAATGGTTAATAGCCCTTGCTGCACAATCATGAGAACAGAATTCAGATCCCAGTACTCACATAACAAGCTGGGTATCTTGTCTATGCCTATAACTCCAGTTCTGAGGTGGGTGGAGACAGGAGGACCCTGGGGCTTGCTGGCTTCTAGGCTAGCTGAGGAAACTTGAGCCCCAGGATCAGGGAAGGACTCTGCCTCAAAGAGAGTGACAGAGGAGGGCACTTGACGCCTCTTCTGGCCTCCGTGCATGTATACCTGCACACATCTGTTTGCAGTTACTCACACAGACTTCAAATAAAGACTACTTAAGCTAGTTATCTTTAAGGAAACAGAAGGCCTAGAAAACAACTTGGAAATTATTTAACTTTTTTTCTCCACTACTGGAGAGTAAACCCAGAGTCTCATACATACTAGGCAAATATTCTATCACTGGATTATATATCCGCAGTTCACATTTTACTTTTTATTTTAAGACAGAGTCTAAGTTACCCAGAGAGGCCTTGAGCTTTGATCCTTCAGCCTCGGCCTCGGGTAGCTTTGCCTCAATAGGCCCAACTAATGTTTTAAAATATACTTTTTTTCTGTTACAGTACTAGAGATTGAAAGCAGGTAACTTAAAAAAACAAAACTGCTCTGGGTTTCATTTGTAACTAATCTTTTCTGATTGAGGGATTCTCTTGAGATGAAATTTGCAAAGATGAAGCTGGGCATGGTAGCGTACACCTTTAATCCCAGTACTCGGGAGGCAGAGGCAGGCGGATCCCTGTGAGTTCAAGGCCAGCCTGGTCTACATAGTGAGTTCCAGGACAGCTGGGGCTACAGGGAAACCCTGCCCAAAAAGACCAAAAAAAAAAAAAAATAAAAGAAATTTGCAAAGTTGGGATTTTATTCAGAAGACCTTAAGATTGCCACGAGGTGGTGCCAGATTTCATTAAAATATGCTGAACTTGAACTAAAAGGTAGTGTTCTCCCTGATCGCTGCATTATTTTCTCTGGGTATCTAACAGAAATCAACATTAATGAAGATGAGGCCCAGTGGATGTGAAAAGCAGCTCTTCAGTTAAATGTGTGGCAGGATCGCTGAGGGTGTGTCCTCTTGCACTCTCAGACAATTAGTTAACAATTAGTCAACTTCAAGTGTGGCTCTCCCACAAAAGGAAGCAGAACAGGTGCTGGACAGAAGCTCTGCTAAGAGCGCTGCTGCTCTTCCAGGGGACCTGAGTTATTCCTAGCACCCACATAGTGGTGTGTGCTGGGGATGGGTTACAACTGCCTGTAACTCCAGCTCCAAGTGCTCTACTTCCCTTCTCTGGCCTCTGGCCACACACAGACACAATAATAATAATAATAATAATAGTAATAAAAACTGCAGAAGGGGCTGGAGAGATGGCTCAGCAGTTAAGAGCACTGACTGCTCTTGCAGAGGACCCGGGTTTGATTCCCAGCCCCCACATGGCAACTATGAACCATCCTTAACTCCAGTTCCAGGGGAATCTGAAGCCCTCCTCTGACCTCTGCAGCATTGCATGACACGGGTACACTCACATACATGCAGGCAATACACTCATACATATAAAATAATAAATTTTTTTTGTTTTTTTTTTGGTCTTTTTGAGACAGGGTCTCTGTATAGCTCCAGCTGTCCTGGAACTCAGTATGTAGAACAGGCTGGCCTTGAACTCACAGAGATCCGCCTGCCTCTGCGTCCCAAGTGCTGGGATTAAAGATGTGTGCCATCATGCCTGGCAATAATAAAATATTTTTTAAAAACTGCAGAAGAACCACTGACACTTTGTTATGGCATATTTCCAAGATTAGGGCTATTTATTTTTATTTTTAATTAAAAAAATTTTTTGTCTTTTTGAGACAGGGAGACCCTGTCTCAAAAAGATCCCCCCCCCCCAAAAAAAAAACCCCTAAAACCATGTCAGGCTAGCACAGTGAGTATCTTACAATCCCAGCACTCTGACATAGGAAGTTTCTGAGTTGGGGCCCAATTTGGGCAAGACCCTGTTTCCATAAAACTAAATCAGGTCACATATAGACTCTACACCTAGTCAGGTTAACTGCCATTTATTTATTTATTTATTTATTTATTTATTTGTTATTGTTTATTTTTTTTGGTTTTTTTGAGACAGGGTCTCCCTGTAGCCCCAGCTGGCCTGGAACTCACTATGTAGAACAGGCTGGCCTTGAACTCGCAGGAGATCCACCTGCCTCTGCCTCCTGAGAGCTGGGATTAAAGGTGTGTACCACCACACCTAGCCCTGGTTAGCTGCATTTTTTAAAAAATTATTTAAAAAAAATTTTTAATTCATTTTTACAAAGCCAGGCATGGTGGCTATATGAAATCTGGTGTTAAAAAAAACAAAAAGTACCAGAGCTGGAGATGAATCAGCAGTTATGAGCACTTACTGCTGTTCCAGAAGACCCAAGTTCAATTCCCAGCAACCATGTTGGGTGACTCACAGCTGCATATAGTTCCAACTCCTGGGGGAGTCTCACACATCTGACTTTCACGGGCACCTGCATGCACATGAACATACACATAGGCACACACACACATACAATTAAAACTAAAAATAAAGATTTAAAAACAAAAATATTCAAATGAGTTGTTTCACAGAAAAGTTGAACATTTGAGGAGAAAGCTTTAAATCAAGCTGCTCTGGACCACTGAGGTGGCTCGGCGGGTAAAGGTGCTTGCCACCAAACCTGAGGACCTGAGTTCAATCCCCGAAATCCACATGGTTGAAAGAAGAGACTTCTGCAGTTTATCCTCTGAGCTCCACGTGTGCACCATGGCACTCACGTGCAAACATATACACATAATAAATGAATATTAAAAAATGAAAATGGAGCTGGAGAGATGGCTTAGTGTCTAAGAGTACTGGCTGCTCTTGCAGAGAACCTGGGTTCGGGTCCCAGCCAACACCCATGTGGCAACTAACAACTGTCCATAACTCTAGTTCCAGATGATCTAACATCCTCCTCAGGCCTCTGTAGGCATTGCACAAATGAGTGCACTTAGATACATGCAAGCAATACATTCATACACATAAAATATTTTAATTTAAAAAATGAAAATAAGAGCCAGGCATGGTGACACACACCTTTGATCCCAGCACTCAGGAGGCAGAAGCAGGCGGATCTCTGTGAGTTCAAGGCCAGCCTGGTCTACATAGTGAGTTTCAGGCTAGCTGGGACTACAGAGAGAACCTGTCTCAAAAAGGAAAAAAGAAAATAGCTGTTTTGCTCACCTCAAAGCCTGATAACTTAGGTCAAAAGAAACTGCATAAGTGCGATGTGGGATATAGTAAAGGTTGTTATATTCATGGAACAGAATCTGAGGTCCCAGATCTCCCTTTAATGGCCAAACG